ACATTTTTTCTTGCTTAAAATTACCATAAAAGAAAAATTTTTAACAAAACGGACGCGATCAGGAGAGAGTTTTTTATTATTTTATTATTTTTTTTGGTACAAAGATATTAGTAGTATATAATCTTTATTAAATAATTTATATCCAATTATATGACTACAAGATCTATTTAAGTTAACTCATCCTTTTATCTATAGCCTTATCCAGTCATATAAGTTTATTACTATAGAAGTGGGCTTATATATTTGAAAGAGATCTTTAGGAGATAAAAATATTATTACTAACTTATAAACTATTTAACTTAATTTAAAACCTGATAGTTGTTATTAAGAGTATATACTTTTTAGGATTGATTAGAACACTCAAATAACTTGTTCAATACTTTTTACTTAAGATCTCAAAGAAAGTATTATACTTACTGTTACTACCTGTAGTCTCAGATTTTTCTTTTTATTGGGGGTTTTTTTTTAAACAAGTATCAAATTGAAATAATCTCAAGCTAAAGTATTTTTTGTACTATGGAATCTGCTATATTAGGGGATTTGTAAGCTTATATGGAAGTTAAATCAGAAGCTTTTTCTTATACAACCTTTCTTGCTTTGACTTATTTTCAACCTGTGATTATCATAAAGACTATAAGTTCTATCTTCATACAATCTAATTGGATTTGGTTAGGATTCAAATATTCAAATACTCCATATATAAAAAAACTGATAAATCTATATACAAATAAAATTTTTATATTTTGTTTTCTATGGATATTAAACTAGAGACATGTATTTGGAAATCTGAAAGTACTATCCACTGTGCTATAGATCTACAGATTTAAGAAATTTTATTTTATATTTTCTATAAAAAATATAAATATAATATATATGTATATACTGTATATATTTTTAAAGTGAAACGTGTGCAAGGCATATGATTTTTATTAATATATTTATATATCCAGACAAATATCAAATGTTTTTACAAATTAACTGGAAATTAGTTAATATATGAATATTCGTTATAACTTTACAACTGATCTACAGATTAATATTGCCTAATATCTATATTACTATAAGATTAGCTATACCAACCACTTATAATTCAACTATATATTTATTTAAATATCCAGAAATATGCTTATATATTAGGCGGGACTTTCCACAAGGGGAAATTCTATCATTAGTTTAAAATTTACTTAACTTACTAAGTCCATATTGCAAAGAACAGTATAGTATAGAATATTATTATAAAAATTAATCCCAGTTATTTCAATCATCTATTATTACTAATTCTTAGGATGTGCCACTAGCATAATACAATACTACTGTTTTTACCATCTGTGGAATTAACGTTATTGCTTAGATTCTAATTTAATCTTAATTATCCTTATCAGATGTACTTGATCTTAACAATTTTTGTCTAAATTGGTATCTTCTGTAACTAATAACCTTTTGTTTTTTTGATTCATTTAAGTTTAAAAAAACATTATTTATGAAATAGATCCTTAAGCTTCAAATTGAAATAGATCAGCTTAGGATTAATCTTTTTAAATTGTGTAATGAAGTTTATTGTCATCAGTTTGAATTGAGATTTTTGTAGACTTTTATCAGAGTTAGACCAGAAGCCTTTTCTTGTGCAACCCTCTATGTTTTGACCTGTTTTCAGCTCACGATTGTCAAAAAAAACAAAGATTTCATTTTTATGTAATCTAATTTAATTTGATTAAAATCTGAATATTTGAATACTTTATATATAAAAAAATTAGTAAATCTGTATACAAATAAAATTTTTGAATTTGTTTCTTATAGATATTGAATTAAAGACATGTATTTAAAGATTTGAAAGTATTATTTACTGTATTATTGATTCACATGTTTATAAATTAATATTTTTTAATTTGAAATTAAATAAAATATTTATCAAAATTAATTTATTTTATATTGTTTTTTCAAATATTAATTATTTTTTATTTTTTTCAATTTGCAAAAAATATTTATTTAAGATATTTAGTTATATTAGTAATACTATTTTTATATTGATTGAATAAATTAATTACAATAATTATATTAAGTTTTTTATATATTTTTATTATAAGTAAAATAGATTCAGATCCAGTTTTGATATTTTTTAAAATTGTTATTTGTTAAAGTATTAACCATTTTAATATTTAAAATTTTATTATTATCAAAACTATTTTGAAATTTTTTATATTTAAAATTTGTAAAAATAGTTTTTTCTAAAAACTCAATATAAGTATTAAATTTTTTTTAATAATATATTTATATATTTATAATTTGATATATCTTTTATTAAAAATCTTTACTTAATATTTTATCAATTCATATTTTTAAAAGTACTAAAATTGATTTGTACTTTATTGAAAATTTCAATTTGATATTAAAAAACTTAAAAATTAATACTGAAATTGAAATTGATAAATTAATAATAATATTTATTAATATCAATCAGAACTCTAGTTATAATAAAGCTTAAATAATATTAGTTAATTTTTTTGTTTTTGTTTTTGTTATATTTTGAATATATAAAGAATTATATAGTTGAAAAAAAGTAAAGTCTTGTTTTTAAAAAGATTAGTATTGTAAATTGTCATAGAAATAATTTTTTAGACTAATACTTAATTGTTTATTATAAATTTTAGATAAATTAGAAATAAACAAAAATAATTTTTTTTTGTTTAAATATAAACTATAATATATATATTATATATATATTATAATTATATTAAAATATTTTTTATTTTTTAGATTAAATTAATATTATTTCAATTATGAAAAAAAAAATCAATTGGTTTTTATTTTAAAATACAGTTTGTTACAAAAGTTTTGAACTTTTTTTTGAATTTTGTTTTGACTTTTAATTTTGTAAATAACTAATAAAACAAACCAATATTTATATATACTACATGGACAAAAGTTTTGCATATCTTAAATTTATTATTAAATCATTTAAAAAAAATTTTTTTTCAATTTTAAATTGATATTTTAAAATAAATTACTAATTAATTAAATATTCATAAAACTTTAATATATTATTTCTTTTATTATAAATAATATATATTAAAAGTTTTATTTAATTTAAATTACTATTTATCAAATTATAAGAAAAATTCAATTCTGGTTTTTTTTGGACCGGACTGTATATATACAGTATATATTATTTTTTTTTACTAAAATAATCAAGTTTACATATTTATATTTAACATATTAAAATTTTTTAATTAAAAGATTTTTTTAAATTTACTTAGTCAAAATGTGTTTAAAAAGTAATTGAATTAATAAATCAGCGCAGGAATTTTACATATGAATATATCATTTTATCAAAGAAATGAAAAAAAAAAGGTAGCCATTCAGCGAGACGTTGTGGCTTTGTTCCATCGCTCTGAAAGGTTAACAAAGTTCTCGCGAATTTGGGATTTTGTAATGCTTTATATTATTTATCTCGCATTATAAATTTCTCTTCACCTATTTTTTTTTGGAGCGGATCAACATTCTTCACATGTTAAAGTAAAGTAAATACATGCTTCAATTAAATCAGATACATATCGTAATTCTGCAATCATTCTTTTAATTTCTGTAATTTCAATCCACCTACTTTCTCGACTGAAAAATGTTCATTATTAATTGGTTTATCGACGTTTTAGCATCTTTGGGTATGTTGAATAGTCTCCTTAATGTTTAGATCATAATTTTTTGAAGGGGTGCGTCATCCGAAGAACCTTTTTCATTTTTATACCTGCATCTCGATCTAATAAGGTCTTGTCAACAAGAACGCCAAGATCTTATTTTTGGGTTTAGACAATGCGGGGAAGACAACTTTGTTGCATATGCTAAAGAATGATCGCCTTGCGACATTGCAACCAACATTACATCCAAGTAAGTCGAAAAGCTTTTATTCCATCGAGTGGATGATGTTTTTACGCCGCTCTCGATCCACTTGCGTTTAACAAAAAAAAAATTTTTTGCAATAAAAAATTGTCTTTCAAGGTATTTCGTGGTTACATGTAGAATAAACGTCCATGTCTAACTAAACGTTTTTTATATAAATAGCTTCGGAAGAATTATCGATAGGAAGCGTTCGTTTCACAACTTATGATCTTGGTGGACATCATCAAGGTAATTAATCGCCCACAAGTCTTGAATTTTCAATTATCGTATTGTGGAACATTTCTTTGTTTATTTTAGAAGATACTAATGTCGGTCATTATCTCGATTTTCACAATTATAGCTCGGCGCCTTTGGAAAGATTATTTCCCAGAAGTCAATGGAATTGTCTATATTGTCGATGCTCAAGATCGTGAACGATTTGGCGAAGCTAAAACTGAATTAGATGTACGTGTGGATAAGTTTAATTATAACCTTTGTTTCTTTTTTTTAAAAAAATTTTTTTAATAGGCACTTCTTTCCATCGAGGAACTTTCATGCGTACCATTCCTAATTCTCGGAAACAAGATTGACGCTCCTGGCGCAGTATCTGATGATGAATTGAGGCATGCACTTGGATTGTATCAGACTACCGGAAAGGTTTGTATATTTTATGAAATGAAAAATTTCAGTGTTTCTATTTGATAATTGTTAACATTACTTTCGTTATTTAGGGTAAGGTTCCATTGAAGGGCATTCGTCCTATTGAGGTATTTATGTGCTCTGTTGTTATGAGGCAAGGATATGGTGATGGTGAGTTTATACTCTTTACCTCCTCCTATCTTTCTTTAATTTTCATTAATGAGTAAAACTTTATTACAGGTTTCCGTTGGATATCTCAGTACATTTAATGGTATAGTTCTCCGAAGACACTCCCCTAATCGTTTCTTCCATCCTACCAAAATTGCTATTAATTCACTTTACACCCACCTAATAACACCTATTATGAGTAATTTTCATTAAACATTTGTTTATATATTAAATTCTTATATAATCTTCAAAACAAATCTAAACCTTTGATATTGATTGAGAGAATAAAGAATATTAAAAGAGATTCGGTACTTAGAAATATGCATAATTGTTTTGTTCTGTTAAGGGTGATAAGGTTTTCGATTGGAGCCATTTCTGATTCGAACACGTACAGTAATTTATTTCGTGTAACTAACCGTTTATGCAAATGGATCATCTGATTGCATCTCGCATGGCTGTGCCCTGTGATCCACTATTTATGTATGTGATGAAAATTCAGCATCCATGTCTTTATCAAACTGAGCACCACCACTAAGCCTCCGAATCCACTTTGATCCAAATAGATAAATAACTGGCTTAGACGAGCTTAGTAGTGGCTGAGTTCCCTTCCTTTTAACTTCAAAAGATATAACAGGCAACATTTTTTATAGCTTTCGAGTGGCAGAAATTTTGATTCTGTGAATCGAGGAAAACATGAGAATCAACAAATATGAGTCAGTTCCTTCCAAGGAATCAGACGTCGAATATGGACAAAATCAAACTCGTGACCTGAATGATACTGGTGAAACTTCAGAAAATTTGTGGATGCACGATGCTAAGGAATCTCAGGAGACGGAAGTACACGAGACAATGGAAACCGACGAACGGGAAACCATGTTTAAAGAAAAAGAAGAAGATGATACCATAGTAGATGTTGAAACTTGGGACGAGGATGTGTACACAAAGTCTGACGTGAGTATATTCTGTCTTGGTTAGAGAACGAAAAGTTTACAATTTTGCGTGAAAATTCGGTTATTTTGCGAATAATTGAATTCAAAATTGATCAATTAATTAAGACAAGTTTTTTTTTTTGTTGTTCAATTATTTACAATTCGGTAAAGTAATACGAGTGATTGATCAATTATTTATAGAGAAACGAGAGAAAAATTATTCCATGTCTGATTATTGCTGGGATTTTTGTACTTGCCTGGATCGGTTCAGCAATCCTTTACGAATATTATCGATCGGGGAGCGTTGATCAGAGCACATTGAGTCGAATAAAATTTGATGATATATACAATGGAAGCTTTTATCCTACTTATACGAGTTTGGTATGGAGTACTTCTGGTAAGTTGTTTGAAACTGTAAAAGGATTTAATATTCTATTTGATCTATAAGTTCCGTTAACTCTTTTTTTTTTTTTTTCAATTCCTCTTTTCTCAACCAGATGGCGATGATGGGCAGTTCATTTATCAACAAACAGATAATAGCATTGTAGTAGAACATATCGCAGATAAATCGAAAAAAACATTAGTAGATGGAAAAGATCTTGGTGAAGTTCGTATCGATGTTGAATTAATTATTTAGATTGTCTTAAAATAAATGTACATATTATTGTATTTATTCACTGATCAATCTTCTCATAATTAGCTTACATATTTCTCATTCGATGTTTCACCAGACAATCAATATGTCCTGCTTGGGACCAATAAAACAAAAGTGAGTTTAGTTGATTGTTCTCAAATTGTCTGATTGTATGTTTGTTTCTAATACATCTAATTTTTTAGTTGTGGAGACATTCTTATACAGCAAATTACTTCATTTTTAACGTATCATCGAAATTAATTTTTCCCATTACCACACCAATTGACACCAATCATCAAGCTGTCATTTCATATGCTAAATGGAGCCCTGTTGGTCACAGTCTGGTAGTTTCTGTTTTGATATACTTATAATTTATACCTGTTCAAGCTTATCTTAGTTAAAGTCATTATTTCTTTACATAGGCTTTTGTCAAAGACAATGACGTATATGTATCAGTAGGGCTGACAGAAGAAAGACGTATAACGTATGACGGATCAACAGTTATATTCAATGGTGTTCCGGATTGGATTTATGAAGGTATCTCCTTTTACATGTTTGTACATTCAATTTACTTTTACCGGGTTTATTTTTCCTCATTAATTCATTAGAGGAGGTCCTGGCAACAAACTTCGCGCTTTGGTGGTCACCCGATGCAACATATATTGCATACATTCGATTGAATGAAACCGATGTACCAGAATATCGCTTCCCACTTTATCTTAATGGAATGGAGGCAGGACCTTATGTAACCGAAGTTGTAATGAAATACCCTAAACCCGGTTATCCAAATCCTATCGTTACTTTTCACATTTACGACGTGTCAAAACCTTTGGTATCCCAATCAGCTGCAATCCCATTTACTGATGATTTTTCGGATGATAATAAAATAATAACTGAAGTCTGTTGGGCTGGAAGCGATAAAGCGCTGGTTAGAGTTATGGATCGTGTTCAGGATACCGCCAGAGTTGTATTGGTCGATACTGTCACACTTAAGGGCACAACTGTGCGCGAGGAGAATGCAGATGCAACCGATGGTGGTTGGCATGAAATTGTATGCATCACTTTGCAATTATGTATATAAAGTTTTTCGTATTCCCTCTTGCATATCGACTGAGGTTATTAAGCGTTTAAATTATTAGACTAGGAGTATGATTTACCTAAAGAAATTTGGAAGCTTAACACAGGATGCTTATTTGGATATAGTCGTCAATAATGGATACAACCATCTTGCTCTATTCAGCCCTATAGATTCCAATACTCCTCAATTTCTTACCAGCGGTAATTGGGAAGTTGTTGGCGGCGTACAGGCTGTTGATTACAAGCGCGAACTTGTGTATGTATCTATCTATTACTTTATGTCATGTCTTGACTATATTGCAAGTTTTAATTTTTTTCACTATCATTTAGATATTTTATAAGCACCGAAAAGTCTTCAATCGAAAGACATTTGTATTCCGTTACTCTTGATGGCAAAAATAAGACAGCATTGACAGATACCAGTAGCGCTGGGTATTATTCTGTTTCCTTTTCAAAGGACTCCGAGTATTACAATATCATGTATCAAGGACCCGACATTCCCTGGCAGAAAGTATTGAAGACTGACAATAAAAGTGAGCATTCTTTCAAAATATTTTCCGAGAGGTTCTGTTGTCTGTGTCCTCAATATACCGTGACTAAGAATTTTGTTGATTCTATTCGCCAGCCTTTTCAATAGTTCTGCAGTCTAATGATCGGCTGAGTTCTCTGATTAAATCCATTGACATGCCTACTATAAAATATACTACAATAGAGAGTGATGGAAATGGTAATATTATATTATTTTGATTTTGATTTTTTTTGATCTTATAGTTAACATATTATTTTTTTTCTCTGAAATTTTATTATTAAGAACTCAATGTCATGGAGATCAGACCACCTGGGATGGATGAAAGCGGTCGCGAAAAATATCCCGTCCTATTTCGTGTATATGGAGGTCCCACCTCTCAATTGGTCAGTAAAAAGTTTTTGGTTGACTGGCACATGTTCTTAGCGTCTTCGCCCAAGTTGAAATACATAGTTGTGGTGGTTGATACTCGTGGGACGGGATACAAAGGCCGTAACTTTCGCGTTTGTGTTAGAAAACATTTGGGAGAATTCGAAGCGAATGACACAATTAATACGGCGCGTTATTGGTCAAAGTTACCGTATGTTAATTCAAGTAAGATGGCTGTTTGGGGTTGGTCATTCGGAGGTTTCCTTACGACTAAGGTTATTGAAGCCAACTCCGGAGTGTTTCAAGCGGGGATTGCTGTTGCTCCTGTGACTGATTGGAGGTATATGATTACGAGTTAATTATCCATTAGCAAATCAATTGTTTAACAAGATTTTGTTCTTAGATTCTATGATTCTATTTATACCGAGCGTTATATGAAGTCACCTGATACAAATGCTGAGGGTTACCAACGTGCAGCTGTGACAAATATGACGGGGTTCAAAAATGCAAAATTTTTGTTGGTGCATGGAACTGGAGATGGTAATGCTCCGTTTTTTTATCTAATTCCGCAATTTATGATTATTCTTATTAATATTTCATTTTCATTTTCTTCAAAATGTGACCTGCAGATAATGGTATAAATATTTATTATAATCATAATATTTTTTATTATACATTAAGCTTATTATTATTTTTTTATAGTACATTTTCTAAATTCGGCAAACTTGGTTGATCGATTTACCCTCGCATCAGTTCACAATTATCGCGTACAATTCTACACCGACAGCGATCATTCAATGACAAAACACAACGCAAATCGTGAGGTAAATTATCATTCGGTTATCCTTTTATTCTTCAGTTATTCTTGATTATTTTGATTTTAATTGTTTTTTTTTTTCTTTTAGCTCTATTATTTGTTGACTGAATACCTTTGGCAAAATTTTGGAATAGCTGGACAAACCATTTTTTGAATTATTCAATTGTTTCTGCAATAAACCATTTTTACAATTCGATATCAAAAACATACTGTACATGCAGTGCTTACATAGACAAAATTGCACATAGATTTTTTTGTTGGTACAATAAAATTGTCTTAATACTCCAATAGTTGTCCAACGTCATCTTCAAATTTTCATGTGAATTCATGTTTTTATCTTCCCTTCTTTTATAAACTTTATTGAATTTTATAATGCAATTTTTTTTTTCTGACCACTAGGTTTGTTATATAAAATTTTTATTTTTAGAAAATTTATAATTTAATATAATTGAAACAATATTTTTTATATACTGTATATTCAAAAAACAGATAAATTCAAATTAATTTCAAAAAAATATATTAAAAATTAATTTGTAAATAGTTATTAATAAATAAATATACAGTAATAATAAAATTTATTATTTTTTTAATGATATTTGATTATATATCTTAAATAAGGATCCTAATGATTCTTTTCAATTCTGTATTTGATTCTTAAGTTTATATTAAATTTAATAAATGGGTATACTCTACCATTAATTTCAATTTTCAGAACCATAATCTTAAAACTATTATACATGTGATTATCTTGTTGATCATTGCCATATATGGTAATACAATTTTAATTAAATATGATTTCTAATTAATTTATTATGTTTTTATTAGTAATAAAAATGTCTGAATTCAATTTCATCACATATATAACTACTGTATTATATTATCATAAAATTTTTATATAATTTTAATATTTTATCAAAATCAAATTTGTCAAGTTATTATTATTTAATTTTTTTATATTAATTGTACTTAATAAAGTAATACAATATATCATATATTAAAAAAAAAATAAATAATTTTACTGTATATGCAAAATATATAATAACTTTAATATGAATATGTTTATACTTTTCTAATGTATATTGAAAAATATATTTTAAAAAATATTATATTAAATAATATTTATTTATTTATTTTATAATCAAATAAATATTTATTGTATTTATTTAATTATTAAGATTGAAAAAATAATAATATAAAATTTTTATATATAAATTAAGTTAATACTTGAATATTTATTATTGATTATTAATTTCTAGACAGAATTTGAGAATACATAAAAATATTTTAAAAAAATTTTAGTTTATTGTTTATAATTTAATTTATTTTAACAAAACTTTGATTATTTTATATTTCTAACTATTTAATATTCTTTTTTATTTTATTTTATAAAGTCTTTATAAGAATATTTGCATAAATATTAATATTAATTAAAAAGTCTAATTATATTAATATTATAATTATTAAAAAAAAAAAACTCTTTTTCACAACATCTCTATTCATAGATAATTATCTTTTTAAGAAGCATCTTTCTTCCAAGGAACTTTGTCTAGTAGAATATATTTTTTGGGAAAAGGACATAGACTAAATAATTAATTTAGAGCAGTGAAGATTTCAAGAATAAGATTGATCCTTGGGATTTCAGAAATGGCCTGTACTAAAAGGTCTAGTAACTGGTAATGGAACTGAGCAATAACTTGGAATAGAGAAGATGAATAAAAAGAAAATTTTCTATGTGAAGGCCATCTCTACACAGAACTGCTACAAAACAATCATATCTTCCATTCTTAATTCAAAAACAATCTTATTTTCAAGAGGCAGTATTTATTTTTTAAAGTTTTTTTGTTTTCTGCTAATAATAACTAGTGTTATATTTTACATAATCTTTTGGCTAGTTACCAGTCCTCATTCACAAATTTCAACACAAAAACCATAACCAGCTTATTCCTGTCAAACAATTTATAACACATAAAATACTAATCACATTCTGTATCACTTTTATACATCAAAACAACATAACAACTTATCGGATTGGAAAAGTATGTGATCAATACCCTGCGTGAGTTCTGGTAATCACAATACATAATACCTTATCAAAACAATATAATAAATATCTGGAACATATTCCAGCTATCCTATTATTTATATTACTATATGACCAAATCACATAATAACAACATTACAAAACATCACATAACCAAACCCATCAAGTTATATGTGGCTTTTGCAGTGCTGACACCTAACTGAAATATCTAATTGCATTTAGAAACCATATTTAACAAAAGTTTTAATTTTTTTTTCTTTTTTTTTTCATTCAAATATCTTATAATGCCAGCAATCTTGTTCCAAATGTTTTTTTATTTTTTACAACAAATAGTTCCTCAAGTTTTCCCTGCTTAAGAATTTTTCAGATAATATATTTGTTTATAGATAATAGGCTAATATCTATAGCAATATAATTTATATCTTAATATTAATTATGTAACAAGTTAAACTTTTACTTATTAATAAAAATCATAAGTAATGTCTCACTCTAACACTCTAACATTAAAAAAAAATTAATATTATAATTAATATTTTTTATTATATATTGTTAAAATTGGTTGTTGTTTTTTGTTATATTAATACTTTTAAAACTTGATCGATTTTTTTTCTCTCTTATAATTTATATTTATTGTTTAATCTAAAAACTTCTTTTAATATTTTTTAATAAAGATTTATTATTATTATTTTCTTTATTTTATAATTTTTTATATTTATGAATTCTTTTATATTTTGTATTTTAGATTTATTAACAAATTTATTTATCTTAAAATTATAATATTTTGTTTAAAATTTACTATACTGCTGTTTTATAAATCTTAATTAATCAAAAAATATTAATTTATTTTTTAATATTTTTTTTTTTTTTTTTTAAGTAGGTAAACATCATTTCTTTATTTTATTTGTATATAACAAGGTATACATCGTGAAA